ACAAATGTGATGTTCTGAAAAAGCACTGACAGCCTCTCTTAGGACAAATCAACCAATCATACAAAGACTTAAAGTGAAGCATGTTATTCTTGTACCAGCTCTTTAACAAACATTCCCCTCATTGCAATGCAAGGTCCAGAGCCAGAATACAAAACTGCACTGAAAACTTAATGAAAACTGTTATCAAAGAGAGCTGTTTTGAATGATTTAAGCACATTTTTCAGATGGCCATTATTTTTAACAAGCACAGAAACACTGTGTTTTTATCAATAGCCTTCTCTTTATCTCCTTGGGATTTAAATAATGTTTTTCTCTATGCTTTCATTCGGTGAATGCTGCAACGAATACCTATCGTGTATTTGCAAAAACCTGGTGGCACAACAGTTAAGCCTTTGGCTACTCGCCAAAAGACTGATAGCTTAAATCCATCCAGTGCCTCTGAAAGAGAAAGATCTGGCAATTTGCTCCCATAAAAATTACAGTCAAAGAAGGCCCAAAGAGCCCTGTTGGCACAGTGGTTACACGTGGGGCTGTGATCTGTCAGGTCAGCAGATGGAAACTCTCAGTTGGCTCTGTGGGAGAAAGACGGGCCTTTCTATTCTGTAAAGAGTGACAGTCTCAGAAACTCACAGGGGGCAGCTCTGCTCTGGCCTACAGGGTCATTCTGAGTTGGCATCGATTCAATGGCAGTGAGTTTGGTTGGGGCTTAAGAGCCCCTAGGGAGCAGCTGCACTCTGCCACAAGAGACAGTACAAGTTGAAAATGGACACAATGGCACCTAACAACCATCACGGGGTTCTCAAAATAACATCCTGAGCCCTACCATCGTTCAACAGGAATGACACAGGAAAAAAGGGCTCCTTCATGCTACAGTTACAATGAGATGGACTGACACCGTGGCTGCAACAAGGGGCTCAGGCGCAGGAACACTTGGGAGGATGGCGCAGGACCTGGCGATGTGTCGCTCTGTTGTGCACAGGACCGCTCTGGGCCAGCACCAACTGGATGGCACCTGACAGCAACAACAACAAGAATAAACAACCCCAACATTTCACTGGGAAACATTAGCAAAGGTCTGGCTCTGGCCAAATGTCCATTACGGATCAAAGAAGCCTACTTGATGGAGCAATCACCATCTTTTGACTTTGCCAGTCATCATGCCAGAAGTCAAAAAGGTCCTGAACGTCTTACAATGACATGTTTCAGCACTGACCAAACCAAACTCACAGCCATCGCGTCAGTGCTGCCTCATAGCGACCTTTTGTGGGTTTATGAGACTGACTGTTGATGGCAGCAGTGAGCCCCATCTTTCTCCCTCACAGGTGCCGCTGGTTCCCAATGGCTGGCCATGCGGATCCCAGTCTGTCGGGTAACCACTGCACCACCAGGGCTCTTCTGCGTAGAAGGGATCTTATTCCTCCTGTCCACAATTCCTTGTCCAAAATGCATCCCAAAACCAGGCCCCACCTCCTCACAAAAAGAACTAGGAACTGCAACTCTACCTCACAGGGAGATAGATTCGAGGAAGATCCAGAAACACTAGAACAGACCTCGTGAAGACTGCGCGCATGTTTGTAGCTGATGACGGCACCGCGCAAAAACTGCTGAACAGAAAAATAGGGAAAGGGCATCATCGGCTAACAACCATGTTCCTATGGGAATGTTTCTCTCACCTAAGGAAGGAACATTTGAGTTCAGTCTTGAAATAATTCTTCTAGGGAGCAAGGATAGGAACATTCTAGGAGAAACAGCATTGCAAAGAGGATGCTCTTGGTTGCCACCGAGTTGGCTCCGGGCCATAACCACCCTATGCACAACACACGAGAACTGGCCCGGCCCCTTCCTCACAATGGCTCTTATGCTCCAGCACATTGTTGCAGGCACTCCGTCAATCTAGCTTGAGAGGAGGCTGAGGTCCTTCCTCTCATTCCCTGCCCAAACGTGATGTCCTTCACCAGGGACTGATCTCTCCCGACAACATGTCCAAAGTACACGCGACGATGTCTCGCCATCCCTGCCTCTGAGGAGCACCCATATCTTATTTCTTGCAAGACAGATTTGCTTGTCCTTTTAGCAGGGTCTGGCACTTTCAATGGTCTTCAACTCAAATGCATGGAATGGCGTGGTAGGAAATTCTTCATGACTGTAGCGCCAAGTCTGGGAGGGGCAGAGAGAAGAGGAAGCTGGCAAGGGATCAATTATGAAAGGCATTTGCCTTTCTTGTGCAGTTTGGCTTCACCTGTAGGCAACAGGGAGATCATAGGGATTATCCTGCAGGGGCATGTCGTGCACCCGAGTTGCGTTATTCGGTTGCTTTTTAGGAAGATACCACAGAGGAAGCATGGATGAGGAACCGGGACAGTGGGGACAGTGGGGAGACAGCAGGCCGGAGGCCAGTTAGGAGCTGTGGCTGTAATCCAGCCAAGAGATAGTGAACCTGGCCTCAGGCAGTGCCAGGGGAGACCGAGATGTAAGAGGCGTTTCTGAGGAAAATTGGAGAAAACTCAATGAATAGCTGCATGTGGAGGCCGATGACAAGGGAAACGGGGCCAACTTCAAGGGCTGCTAGTTTAAGAAATGAAATAAATGCTCACATTGTTCCCCAAGACAGAGATCATAGCTGGGGGATGAAGACACTTGAGAAGGAAGTTGATGAGCTCAGATTTGCACACATTAAACTTGAAGTTCCCATGGAGACTCAGGTGAAGATGTCTTTAGAATGTAGGATCCAGGAGTCTATGTTCCTTAAAACAATGAGCAAACAAAACAAATCTTCCCAGTTGCCCTTGAGTTAATCCCAACTCATGTGACCCTACGTGTGTCACAGTAGAACTGCCCTCCGTGGGGATTTTAGGGCAGATCTTTTGCCAGTCTTTCTTTCCAAGTGCCTCTGGATGGACGTGAACCTCTAATCTGTCTCTTAGTAACTGATTGCTTCACTCGGGGACTCCTCTGCAGCTCTGGAGTGATAGGAATTTGAGTGTAATTTAATTTGGAAATCAGGCAGATACACTCTGGACATGTATCTAGACTGTAGGCGCTGCTGAGTCCATAGTAAAATAGAATCCGGCTTTCCATGTGGCAGACTAGCTTTGCTTCCTGTGCACCCCATGTGCAGCCACATCTCCTCTGCCAGTCGGGGTTCCCGTGTGGTTATGACGTTGAATAGGTTACAATGGAGATTCCAGAGTAAGGTAGACTAGGGAAAAGGCCGGGCCATCTACTTCCAAGAATCAGCCAATGAAAGCCTTATGGGTCACAGCCCATGGTGGGGGTGGGACAGGAGTGGGCAGTGTTTCATTCTGTGGTGTATAGGGCTGTCCTGTGTCAGGGCTGACTCCATGGCAGCTAACAACCCCCACCCCCGCCCCCGTAATACTTACAGTATCTCTTAGAGACAAGTGAGGGGCAAGTGGAAGTCAGAGAGGCATTCCGAAGTCCCACACTGTAAGTAAAACCTATGCATCTAAAAGCTCCCAGAGAGTGAGGGGGACTGGATTCCTGCCGGAGGTAAGGAAATGCTTTAGGGAAGCGAGTGGTGATGGTTGCAAGCCAGGATAAGTATAATTTTTTTCCTGCTGAATTGTGGACCCTTTAACATGTTAGAACAGAAAACTTGTGTGATCTATGAGGGGAGTCAAAGTTTCTGAAGAATGGCATTAAAAGATAATTTTTTGAAACCCCTTGCATATTTTACCCCAATCATTTAAAAAAGAAAATTCCTGGACAAAGATTTGGGGAGCATTTCACCCACCTAAATGCCCTGAGGACATGTGTTTCCCAAATTTCAGTTAATCCTTTCCCATTGAAGCAAAAAAGTTCTTGCCTATGGAAATGTTGGTCATTTAGAACATGGACATGTATATATTTCAGTCAGCCCTGATTTGATGTTTAACCTGAGGAAAACATTTTGAAAGGGAATTTTTCATGATAATTATAAGTAATCAATGCTATTTTTTAAGTGGCTAATCAAGTCTTCAGGGTTTCTGAGAACTTAGGTGGCCATTGATAGGAATTTTCATTAAGTCGGGTTATTTTTCTTTTAATTTTTAATTAGATCTGCCGAAGTCAGTAATCAAGGTTTCCAGGTTACTATGTGATATATAGAGTAGTGAGTTCACTGGGCCCCAGCAGATCTTTTTTTTTTTTAAAAAAAGGATCATTTAAAAGGCCAGAGGGAGAAATCTGAACTTTCATTGTCAGCGTTCCAAGAGATAAACAGAGCATTCTAAGTCGTTCTGAGGCAACGGGATCAGGGTTTTAAAATAAATCATATTAATATGTGAATAAGACAAACGTGTTTCTCCTATTTCAAAATTTAATAGACCCTTTGTTTTTGCCAAGTGGGAAGGTGGCCGTTGGGCTGGGTGGTTGGGGAGCACATCATCAACTCTTCTGTCTTGCCTGGCCACGCTCGGCTCATGCTCCCTCACTGGGATGCTGCCCTCAACTCCGTCCCAGGGACGAAGCTCTTCTAGTGAGCGCTCCTAGGCAGTTTCCCACTGTCAGCTGTTGCCTACAGCAGGAATAAACTGTGTGTGTGTGTGTGTGTGTGTGTGTGTGTGTGTGTGTGTGTGTGTGGTGTTTGGGGTTTTTTTTCCTAATAGGTTACTGACTTTCTAATCCTGAAACAAGTTTCAGACTCAGAAACTCACAGGGACAGTTCTACCCTGTCCTATGCGGATCGTTCTGAGTCGGCACTGACTGGATGCCAGTGAGCAATACCTTCCAGGAATTAGTAACAATTCACACAACGTTTCCAGGAAGTCACTGAAGAATGACAAGTTAGAGTCTGAAAGGCTGTTTCTGAGTTTGATTTTTTTCCCCTTCTAAATCCAAATGATACAGAAGGGTTTGCATAGAGAATACACTCTTTCCTTCCTTGCTAATCAAGCTCTGAGATGCAGTGGATTTCAAATTCTTTGGGTTTGATTCTAGTTAATATATATGAAAGCTTCAAAGAGTTCATGGAAAAAATGAAATTAAAAGATAATGGAATTTCACTTACCTGGCAGGGGAGAAACCATGATGAGGAAGGTGGTTTTCCCAGGGTGAGGCTTATCCATTGCACTCCGGATGTGCTGACCCCTGAGATTTTCCCTAACGTGGGAAGCTCGACTGCATAATTTGTGGTAGGTAGTAGGGACTGCGTTCTCACTCTCCCCTGAAAAAAAAAAAAGATAATGGAAATCTATGTGTATGTATGTATGTGTATACATATATGCATGTACGTACACATACACATATATCTGGGGGGTAGAAGTAGAGCTATAACTGAAGCAAAAGTTGTATAAAACAATAGCTGTCCTTATACTCTAGTACACAGCAGTCCTGATACATTCGATTTTATTTTATTCAAGAACTTCTTCTTGAGGCCCTCCAAACTGAAGTCATGGCCCACCAACTGACTGTGGTCCGCAATTAATTTCCATTGAAATCATCACACGTGGCTGGGACCAACTGTAACCCAACCCTCAGAACAGTCTGTGCTTCTTCATCTATACATGTAATTTACTGATCTTATTGTGTTGTTGAGAAGAAACCCAGCAAAGAAAATCCCAATTCAGCAGTTGTTCCATGTACACTCCAGGGACATGGATGACATTATTCAAGTTGTGCAACCATTCCAACCCCTTTTCTGAAGGATTCCTCCTCCATGAACATTAATTCACTGCTGTTCACGTGGTCCCACATGGGGAGGTTTTAAAATAGCATCGTGCTTAAGGCAGACATTCTTTACTAGTTGAGTTGAACTATTGTTTAATTTTAAGAAGACTTTAGGGATATATTTGGTTTAAGCTCTAAACATTATCTCAGGGCAACTGCTTCAGGGGACACTTGCCTCAGTGAGGTAGTTCACGTTCACGCACTGTGTGGTTCACGCTTTCTCCTTTAAAATGATTATAATTCAGCCAATGCACACAACGCCTCCATGTCTCATCATTTTCGCTTGTTGGTGGTATATTTATTACTGTTGTTTTCCAACAGAGACCTCATCTTCCAGCACTAATGGCTTACTATTTCTAATTTTAAAAAAATATTAAAAAGAACTAATCGCAGCCTCAGCAAAAATTGCTATTGAGCAAGAAGCAGTTAAGACTGCAGTGACCGTTCGAAAATGCCTTTTGTCAGTGATGGATCAAGTGAACTTGACTTATCTTTGCGCCATAGCTTTTTTGAATTTTTAAATTGGAAATGTGTATACTTTGCTTCTGAAACTGGAGAATATACAAGTAAAAGTAATTCCCTATATGGTTTGGATTACAAAAATAGATTTTTTTCCAAGATATCAGTTGCTTGTTTGTTTTTAAAGACAGTTTCTGCTCCCTGGTGAGCTTTTGATTGAAGATTAGGCACACGCAGGTAGAAGTGACTTCATTATGAGGCAGACTCATTATGAGATGACACCACAGGAATGATAGACTACCATTTAAACAACTATTGGGGAGAAAGGGTTTGGAGTTGAGAATGAAGGTATGAAGGGCTTCGTAGAAGAGATTCTTGTAGGCCAGTTCATATGGGCTGGCAAGTGTGCGGATCTAGGGGCAGAGTAGAGTATGCCAGAATGGGCAGCATAGAGCATGAATGTGTGGTATATTTAACGAGCACTATGACATCTAGGGTTTCCATGTCAGACATGTCTAATTGGGCCTTTGTTTTAGGAAGATGCATTCATTTACTGGCATTACTGGGGGAGAGAGGTATGGCACCACATGACATTATCCGACAACAAAATAACTTTATAAAATTGTTGTGCAGTATTTCTGTAGGTATTTATTATTTTTTAGAGATTCCCTGTGGTTAGTTATAAAAACAAAAACATTTATTGTAAGCTCAGCTTACCTATATCAATATACCTATGAGGCTGTAACTCTAATTTACTTTTTGAGTCTTCCAATGTGCTCTGGTCAGAACTGTCATTATGAGGGAGAGGAAAAAAACATGAGGAGCTGTTTCCAAGGGCCCAAGTGGAAAGCAAATGTTTTGAGAATGATGGGGCAATAGATGTACAAATGTACTTGATGCAATGGATTTATCTATGGATTGTGATAAGAGTTCTACGAGCCCCCAATAAAATGATTTAAAAAAATTGTCATTATGACCCAAGCCATGGTACTTTCAATCACCTCATATGCATTTGAAAGTTGGACATTGAATAAGGAAAATCAAAGAAAACTGGGTGCATTTGAACTATGGTGTAGGCAAAGAATATTGAATGTACCCTGGGCGACCAAAAGAACAAACAGATTTGTCTTGGAAGAGGCACAGCCAGAAAGCTCCTTAGAGGCAAAGCTGGAGAGATGTTGCCTCACGTACTTTGCACATGTTTTCAGGAAAGATCAGTCCCAGGAGAAGGAGATTCTGCTTGGAAAAGCGGAGGGGAATCAAAAGAGAGAGGAAGACCCTCAATGAGACAGAGTGACAGTGACTGTACCAATGGGCTCAAACGCAGGAAGCATGGTGCGGAGGCTGCAAGATGGGTTGGCGTTTCTTTCTGTTGACCATGGGGTCACTCTACATCACTACAGACGTAACAGCATCTACCATCAACAGTGTGCTCTGGTCAGAGCTTTCATGGTTATCCCAGTACAGTGACCCTTTGAATCACCTCTGCACGAGCTCCGAGCATGTACTGTTAGTTTTGTGGCTTTTGGTGATTTCATTGTCATTGATTTTGTTCAATTTCCTAGTATTTTAGCTACAATTAGTATTTGTGAACCTCAATTAATAACTTTTTTCTTTTTTTATTAAGTACTTTTATTGGGGCCT